GAGCGGGCAGCGGCGACCCCCGAACCGACGGTTCGGAAAGTGAAAGATGCCTTGGCGATGACGAAGCAGACGCTGAGCATTGTCACAACGTAGGGTTCCTGACTCTTCGGGGACATGCCTTGGTCGGGCTGCCCCCCAGCGGGAGTGGTTGCGTTCGACAGTTGCCAGGTTTGGCAACGCGTTGTCTCGTTAGTCTCGTTGCCCGATGGGCCGCGCGATGCCGGGTGTTTCTTCGGCTGCGAGGGCGCCTTATGCCCCGGGCCCTGTCCACGCAGAACAGAGGCAAGTCGCCGTCGGCACGCGCGTCGGACACCCTCTTCTCAGGAGCCCTCGCGAGAGATCGGCTTAGACGCAGTAGCTCGCAGGGCGCGCACGAGGAGGGAAGGGGGGGGGGGGGGGGTAGGAGGGGGGGGGGGAGGAGGAAGAGGGGTTGGGGAGGGGGGGGGGGTGGGGGGGGGGGGGAGGAAGCGCCCTCCTCGCGCAGAAGGAATATTAGGCAATTGCGAGAGATAGGCTTAGACGTAGTAGCCCGTCGGCGTTGCTCGTGGTGGCGTCGCGCTTTCGGTCCGTCGTTCGGTTGCATCGTTTTTTTTCTGCCCCGCGTTCGGCCCGCGGTCGTTCTGGCCCGTCGCCGACCCGGGGCCTCGGAGCTCGGAGCCCTCTCGCCGCTCCGGGGCCTCGGAGCTAGATGGGCCCCGGGGGTGGCGCGAACGCGAATCGTTCCCATTATTCGACCTCCGTCTCTCAATGATGCTGCTCCTCCCCACTCCCCTCCTTTTCCCGCTGCCTTTGCCGGCCCTTCCGACGCGTCGACTTCCCCCTGGTCGTTGCCTTTCTCATGTAATTTGAGCTCATCCCCATCGCCTCGCGTTGTCCGCCCCCCGTCTCTCTCCCCCGCCCCTCGCTTTCCCTTCTTATCACTTCCCGTTCCTTCTCCCCCCCCCCCCGCCCCCGCGCCCTCTGCCCCACCCCCCCCCCCCCCCCCCCCCCCCGACCGCCCCTGCGCGCGGCTCGCCCGCGCATCCATCCTGGGACAAGCCAGCGCGTGATTCTCCCAATGTGAACTACAAGCACGACCCACGCACCTTCCTGCTCAACGAGAAAAGGGCCTTGCAACGTGAGCTGTAACACCATGGATTCTAACGGTGACTTTGAAACCAACGCACCGCGTGAATAACAGCTCGCAACAGAAACAAACCCAGCGACACATCTCATCATACCGTTTACGTGTAGAATGCTACGCACGCCTGTTGGGGCGCGCGTGATTCTTGCGAAGTGCAGCCACCCGTCATTGCGCAAGGCGGCACGAGTCATGGTTTGGGACCGCATGTTTTACTTACACGATTATATACTAGTTATGCGTTGAGGCACATATAGTCAGATTCGAGTTATCTAAAAATTAACAAAATAATTCAGCCCCTACTTCCTCCGAGGAGGCGCGCCACGTTATAACCTTGGGGCCTCGGTTAGCGCCTGTTCTAGGCTACCCTAGGGCCTTGGGCAGGGGGCCCAGGGCCGGTTGCCCCCCTCCCCCCCCAGGTTCCACGCCGCTTCGAAGTCCAGTCAGAAGAGCGCGCTTGCCCCGGGGGCGCGCCTTTCGCTGTCGCCTCGGCGCGCCAGCAGACGATGTTCATAGAGACGCCGGACGGCCCGCGCGATGTGCGATCGACGCCGGGATCGCAGATGGGGTAATGCACAGCTCCGAGAGACTGCATACATGGAGGCGGGGGAGTGGGGGATGGGAGAGCGAGAGCACGCAGAGAGTACATATGGTTGTTTTACAGATCATCGTCATCCTGACCTTCCCCCCATCGATATCCAGCTCACTCATGGACGATATTACTAAGGGCGCAGTCATTGAAGAGGGGGCTTCCGATGCCCAAACCACAGAGATCTTGACAAGTAGCCCAGCGAGATTGGAAAGCTGCCTGGCCACAGGGCAGTGGACGCTCAACCCCAGCAAAACGATTCACTTATTTGATCTTCGAGGAGCCTGGTATTATTAGACGAGGCGTCGATTGAGCAGATCTCGAGATTTGAACGGCCAGGCTTTGAGAGACACGCGCGTCTTGGAGCCTTACGTACCGAGTGAACACGGGATGTTGAGCGAGGTCTCGCGCCGTTGCTAGGCAGCACGTCAGGCGTGGAGGATATGCGGGTGTTTGTGGACGTCTTCCGTTGCGAAACGCATCGGCCGCTCGATGTTCCAGACCTTCGTAGTCGAAGCAGCGCCATGTTGCTTATCGGCGTTTGCCAGCCCATAGAAGTTCGTCGGCATCCCAGATCAGACCCCGGGCATTTGTTTGAGGGCGTTGCCTAAGAGAGAGAGAGAGAGAGAGAGAGAGAGAGAGAGAGAGAGATGTGCTGGGAAACGGAGGCAAGGGACAAACTATTCAAATCGGTTAAATTTGTGATTCGAACTTGGAAGATCCCATGTTTCGCTACGCAGTTTAGTGTTAGACGCATCCGCAACTACCTCCGCTGGGTAAGATACCCCGATCATCATCAGGCGGTGGTAGCAGCCGCGTTCGGCTCTGCGCGGGTGGACCAGGACTCTCGGCTTTCACCTTCGAGCATGCCGCGATTCGACCCCATGGGCGAAGCAATCTACTGCCGATGGCGGTCATGGTGCGCCAGTCGACCCCGAGAGCGCCGAATGGCACCGCGGAGGAAGTGGCGACATCGGCATGCTGCAGCGGGGTTCCCCGAGAGATCGAGTTTTTCTTGAAAACCGACCCGTCGCACATCAACGCCGTCGGGAGGCGCGGGGAAGCGGGGGGCGATTCGGATGGGGGGGGGGCAGACAGTGAAGGAGCGCGTTGAACTCTATTGGCGCGACCACACGATGGGCGAGGAGGAGGGAGTGAGAACGACATGTGGCTAACGGTTCTCGGGCGCAGCAGGTCCACGAGCTATCCCCCTTTCGAGCAACATGAAAGTCACCGACCAGTGCCCGCGGTGCAAACGCTGTTTCGCGGATAGAGCAGGCGCCCTGGACCGCGCGCGAAGGGCCGCGCTAGGGTTTGGCACGCGCTTCATCGATCGACTTAACTGGGGTCACGAGCCTCAATTTCTAGCTGACCTGCGACGTCCAGGCGCATGTTCGACAACTTTTGCCAGGTCCACATTCTGCGGCCGAGACCGTTGCAAGAGACAGCGGCAACGAGGGCGGCGCGGGGAGCGAAGCGGCAAGCAGGAGAAGAACCTGGCATCGAACGGGACAAGAGAGAGGCCAGGCAGGAGGGGCCGCGCGGCAATGGCGGCAAGAAGAAGGACGGAGAGGGAATCGATTTACGAGAGGCACTGGTCACAGCGCAGAAGTTGCCGTTACGCAGCAGCCAGGAGAAAGGCGACTTGACCATGGGGATCTTCGACTTTTGGCCGGTGCCAGGGGCGTCTTGCACGGCGATTGCCGGGGCCGAGACAGGCCGAGGCCACAGCGCCGCAGTGAAGACATGGGGCAGGGGGCCCTGACAAGGGCCTCCGCGCGCCCACGTCGCGATGCCGGCCGTATAGAAGGCGGCTGGCGTGCTAGACAGCAACGACAAGTTCCAGGCGGAGAGCGTGTCCTCCCTCACAGAGTGGGTGGGCATCGCGAGCGGAGAGCACAGTCTGAGATTGGTCGACGCGACGTGCAGCATGTTCTGGATCAAGAGAGCATACCAGCAAGACACATATATGGAGGACATGCACAAAGTGATGTTCGGCATCAGGCCCTCGGCGGACTTCAAGACGGCGCTGCGGGTCGGGCAAGTTGCACCGGCATGCATTGCTCAGGTGCGCAAATTTCAACCAGCGTTCTTTCGAGAGGCCTTGATCCGCGCGGGGTTCCCGCAGAAGGGCACGATGCCCATGGGGGTGGGGCCCAAGGCAAAGTTGGGGAGAGTGGTAGAGGCGCAGTTGTAACAAGTATTGAAGCAGGGCGCCCTGACGCAGACTTGAGAGGCAGAGGTGCAGTCAGGTTGCGTTAGGCATAGCTCACGACCCGAGGAGACAGCAGACACTCAGAAGCATGGCGGCAGGTGGCAGTTCGCACGCGGCCACACTCTCGCATCAACTGAACGAGTATCGCAGCGAGCTGCAACATCTCCTTCAGTTTGACAGAATTAGAGATGATACCGCCCCTGGTGGCAACGGCGCGCCCCCCGGGAGTAAGCTCGTGCCGCTCCCGATATTGAACCATAAAGGGGGAAGCGGCTCAGGCCCAGGGCATCACCCAGCGAGCTGGGGAGGAACTCCGAGCCTCTGCTGACTCCTTCCGCTTCCACTTCCCGAGGGATCTTCCCCGCCGGCGGGGCATCGCGCGCGGACCTTGCTCCGCCGCGTCGCCCCATGCCGTGGCGGCCTGCAGCCAGTGCGCGCGGCCAAGCCTCCATGTTTGACGGAGGGGCCAGAGATCAGCTAAGAGGAGACTGACAAATGGCCCCGAACTGAGCACCACTACCACCACCACCCAGGGCTCCAGGGCCTACCCCCTAGGCTCCAGGACATTCAAAACGGCCCCGGGGCTCACTTTTTTGAGCCCCCTTCACCCTCCGGGACTTCACAAACAGGCCCGGGACGTAATTTTTTTGTCTGACCCCAGCGCGGGCCTCCAGGACTTCCAAAACGGCCCCGGAATTTGGGAGGGGAGAGGGGATGGGGGAGGGAGCAACATCCAGCTTTGATACACATGCCGCGAGACGCAGGCAGCGCAGAGGAGGAGGAAAAGGAGGAGGAGGAGGAGAAGGAGGAGGAGGAGGACGAGGAGGAGGAGGAGGAGGAGGAGGAGGGGGGGAGGGCGGAGGAGGAGGGAGGAGGAGGACGACGAGAGGAGTAGGAGGAGGAGGAGGAGGAGGAGGAGGAGGAGGAGGAAGGAGGGGACGAGGAGGAGAGGAAGAGGAGGAGGAGGAGGAGGAGGAAGGCGGAGGAAAGAGGCTGACCACGAGGAGGAAGGCGGAGGAGGGAGAGGAGGAGGAGGAGGAGGAAAAGGCTGGACCCCCGCGGCCGGGAACGCCAAGGCAGGCCCTCACCCACCGCCGCGCCGCGCGCCGCGTGGGCACCGCGGCAGAGAGGGCGTCCGCGGGCGGCGGCGCGGCCGCGCTCAGCCAGCGCTGGCGCGCTGCGGCCGAGGAGGCGCGCGGGGCGGCCTGCGTCGGCCCAGCTTCCTCTTTTCCTCCTCCTCATCCTGCTCCTCCTCCTCCTTCTGTCCTTCGCCCTCCTCGTCCTCGTCGTCGTTTTCCTACTCCTCATGCTCTTCCTCGTCCTCCTCCTCCGCATCCTCCGCCTCCTCCCCCTCCTCCTCCTCCCCCTCCCCCCTCCTCCTCCTCCCCCTCCTTCCTCCTCCTCCTCCTCCTCCTCCTCCTCCTCCTCCTCCTCCCCCTCCTCCTCCTCCTCGTCTTCCTCCTCCTCCTCCATTCCTTTTCCTTATGAGTAATGTCTCCCTGTCGCACCCCGATGCTAGTTTTTAGGGCGGGCCGGGCGTTTCGCCTGAGACTCCTCACCACTTACGACCCTGAAGCTTAAACACGGACAACAGTTTCACATATGGAGAGCGGGTGGTTTTCAAAATGTGGTTTTCGCATGCGCCGCGCACAGTCGTTTTAAACATTTGCAAGAGTTTCGCGGCTTGAGGGCGGGTGGTTTCAACATGTGATTCTCGCCGTATCGCCGCGCACGTTCGTTTTCAAAATTGTGCAAGAGCTTCACCGATTGAGGGCGGTCCGGAATGTGGCCATCGCCGTAGCGCCGCGCACACATCCGTTTTACACAGTTTCAAGAGCTTCATGGATTGAGGGCGGGTGGCTTTCAAAATGTGGCTCTCGCCTTAGCGCCGCGCTCCTTCGTTTTTAATGTTGCAGGGGTCTCACGGATTGATAGAGGACAGTTTTTTCAAAATGTGGTTCTCGTTTTAGCGCCGCGCACATACGTGTCAACAAATATCATGACCTTCATGGGTTGAGGGCGGGTGGCTTTCAAAATGTGGTTCTCGCCTGAGCGCCGCGCACATTCGTTTGTAACATGTACAAGGGATTCACGGATTGATAGAGGGCGGCTCCTTTTCAATGTGTCTCTCGTTCTAGCGCCGCACATATCCGCTTTCAAAATTGGGCAGAGTTTCGCGGATTGTTGGGCACGTGGTTTTCAAAATGTGGATCTCGTCTTATCGCCGCGCACATTCGTTTACATCATTCACAAGGGTTTCGGAGCCCATGACCAATGTACCAGAAATGGTGTTTTGTATGGAGTCAGGATTTAGAGGGCGCAAGAGATATGTTGATTCGCAGTGTTTAAGTCCCAGGAATGGCGTTCCTGGCTCGATTGAGGATCGTCAAGACGCAACAGTCAGGTTTATCCGTGGCTTTAGAATCCTGAGAACAATGTCTTGGCATGCTTCAGGGTCTTCAAACTGTTGTCTTCCAACGAGGCAGTTCCCTCAGTGAAAATGAACCGTTGTAGGAACGAGTGAAGAGGGAGCTTAGAGGGAGGGTTTATCCCAACATCGTTGATGATTCTTGGGTTTACACTGGTCCTCCTCCTCCTCCTCCTCATAATCCGCCTCCTGCGTCGGCCCTGCCTGCGGCCAAGCCCAGCTCTTCAGAGGGGGAAGAGGTACCCATACCGCTGCCCTCCCCTTGTGCTCCCTCTATTGCTACCGACTGGGGCTACTCGTCCGTGCAGCCGACCCCTGTCCTTCCTTCCCTGTCCTACACCTGGCGACGAGCGACGTTGACGACGGCCGCGACGACCACGACCACGACCACGACCACGACCACGACGACCAAAATGATGACGCCGATGCCACGACCACGACCACGACCTCGACGACCACGACGACCAAAATGACGACGTTGACGACTACCACGACAACCAAACTGATGACCCCGATGCCGACAAACCACCACCACCCGCTGGCGAGGCCTCCAGAGAGGCGGCCGGCGCGGGGGCGGCCGGAGCAGAGGCGGCCGCGGCAGGCGGCGCCGGGCCAGGCCGCGAGATTTCGCCGCGGGGTCCCCGCGGTCGTCGTCCCGGCCACCCCCCCCGCTCGAGAAGGGAGCTCCACCCCACCTCCTCTTCCTTCTCCTCCTCCATTCTCCTCCTCCTCCTCCTCCTCCTCCTCCTCCTCCTCCTTCTCCCCTCCTCCTCCTCATCCTCCTCCTCCTCCTCCTCCTCCTCCTCCTGTCCTCCTACTCCTCCATTCTCATCTATCTCCTCCTCATCCTCCTCCTTCTCATTCTCTTTTTCCCAACCATCCTATGGTGCTGGGTCTTCGTTTTGAAGAGAGAGCGCCCCGCGTTCCTCCTCCCGCTGCCCCCTCCCTCCTCCTCTCATCATGATCATCGTCATCACCTGTTTCGGCACACCCCTCACACGTTTCGTGGCCCCATGGGGAGCTCCACCTAAGATCCCAGTGGCGCAGTCCGCATGGCGGCGCCGCTCCATGTCGGCAGACCCCTCACACGTTTCGTGGCCCCATACGGAGGGAGCTCCACCTAAGGTCCCAGTGGCGCAGTCCGCATGGCGGCGCCGCCCCATTTCGGCACACTCCTCACACGTTTCGTGGCCCCATAGGGAGCTCCACCTAAGGTCCCAGTGGCGCAGTCCGCATGGCGGCGCCGCCCCATCTTGGCACACCCCACCCACGCACGTTTCGTGGCCCCATAGGGAGGGAGCTCCACCTAAGGTCCCAGTGGCGCAGTCTGCATGGCGGCGCCGCCCCATTTCGGCACACCCCTCACACGTTTCGTGGCCCCATAGGGAGCTCCACCTAAGGTCCCAGTGGCGCAGTCCGCATGGCGGCGCCGCCTCATTTTGGCACACCGCTCACACGTTTCATGGCCCCATAGGGAGTTCCACCTAAGGTCCCAGTGGCGCAGTCCGCATGGCGGCGCCGCCCGATTTTTGCTCACCACTCACACGCTTCGTGGCCCCATGGGGAGCTTCACTGAAGGCCCCAGCGGCATCGCTGGCATGGCGGCCCCGCCCCATTGCGGCACATCCCTCACACGTTTCGTGGCCCCATCAAGGGGTCTCTACATCCGGCCCCAGTAGAAGCGCCCGCATGGCGGCGCCGCCCCATTTCGGCGCACTCTTCACGCGCTTCGTGGTCCCACAATGAGATCCACCGAAGGCCATACTGACAACGACGGTATTCACAACTGCATATGGTTGGGTCCTTCGCCAGGTTAATTTTTGCAGCAGCTGCACGGCCTCTGTGACAGTTCTGCGAACACCAGCCCACAGGCGCAGCTGGAGCAGCACTGAACCTCATTCGTGCATTGGTGCAACTCGCTGGCGTTCAGGCCGAATCATTAAAACCGAGCCCACGAAGCCGAGCGACAGCGCGATCTCGGCGGCAGCCACATTCTATAGGCGTACACGATGTACCAGGAAGCCCCGATGTCGAGACAAATTAGCCTGGCGAAGGACCCAATCATCTGCAGTTGTGAGTACCATCGTTGTGTGCAACGCATTCGGAGGAGCTCCCTATAGGGCCACGAAGCGTTTGAGGGGTGCGCCAAGAATTGTGAGGTGGGCGCATGCAAAAGCAGCCACTGGGGCCGGCGGTGGAATTAATTCCCCATAGGGGCCACGACGCGTGTGAGGGGTGTGCCGAAACAGGCGCGGTGGGCGCATGCAAAAGTAGCCATTGGGGCCGTAGGTGGAGTAGCCACCATGCGGACTACGCCACTGGGGCCTTAAGTGGAGCTCCCCATTGGGCCACGAAACGTCTGAGGGGGGGGGCGCCGCCCTGCGGACGGCGACACTGGGACCTGAAGTGGAGCTCCCTATGGGGGAGGGCCACGAAACGTGTGAGGGGTGTGCCGAGATGGGGCGGCGCCGCCATGCGGACTGCGCCACTGGGACCTTAGGTGGAGCCCTCGATGGGGCCACGAAACGTGTAAGAGGTGTGCCGAAATGGTGCGGCGCCGCCCTGCGGTCTGCGCCACTGTGACCCTCGTTGAAGCCCCCTACCGGGCCACGAAACTCTGGGACCTTGGGTGGAGTTCCTTTTGGGGCCACGAAACGTGTGAGCAGTGTGCCGAAATGAATGCGGACTGCGCCACTGGGACCTTAGGTGGAACCCCCTCATGGGGCCACGAAACGTCTGAGGGGTGTACCGACATGAAGCGGCGCCGCCATGCGGACGGCGCCACTGGGACCTGAGGTGGAGCTCCCCATGGGGCCACAAAACGTCCGAGGTTGATTAGAAGCCGTGTGACGCGCACATGAGCAATGGAAGGGGGCTAGCGAGATCGGCTGTACTCTCGCGCCGTGCTCTTCCAGACGTTTGCCGGCACGGCAGCAACCTCTGACCAATTAACATCTCTTTGTACACATGCATGCACAGCGTGGTTATACACCTCGCGCGCCCACACCTGTCTGGGGCGGCCGCGCTGGCGGACTGAGGGTGAATCTCGAAGCTCCGCGCTTCCACCCAAGCTTGTAAAGACATCCACGCACGGGGTGGCCGTCACCCATGCGCACGATCTTGCCCAGAAGTGTAAGTTGTCGCTCCAGCAAGATCTGGCTCAACCGGCTTTGCCTCGCCTGGCCAAGTACTGAACAATTTGTCACGTTACTTATATAAGGACGCGGAATACGTAGAACCTTGCGCAAACCGAATGCTGGAAAAGCGTCTAATTTGGACAGCTCTGTTTTTTCAGCCGCACGGTGTGAAGGCTATACAAAAGCTTTGAAATTACACACGCGTTGAACTTATTCATGTTTTATACGCGGACAGAGTGCTATGAGACCATCTGCGAGCTAGCTTGTCGAACTCAGACCTCGCCGCTCCGAGCCTTCGCGAAAGCTCAGCGTCGATGTTGCCGTTGGATGAGAGCACAGCGCCCAGGCACACGAGGCTCTCCTTCTGGACAATCGGCTGGCCATCGGGCTTCGAGGTAGACGCTTGGCACCGTACGGGCAGCACTTCCAGCTTCCGCCAGCTGTAGCGCAGGCCGTAGTTGGCGCCACCATCTGAGATGGCCCGCATGTATTCGGCGGCCCTGTCCTCGTCCGCGGCCACGATCAGAGTGTCGTCTGCGTAGACGAGGTCGATGACCTCATCCGCAGCCGTCCCCAAGTCATGCTTCGCATCGGTCAGGAGGACCGTCATGACCATGGCGAATCAGAACGGGGAGAGAGGGCATCCCTGGCAAATACCAGTATTCTGCTCTCGCGAGAAAGATGTCTGCCCAGCGTCTCGCACAGCGAAGCGGCGCCCAGTGCAGAACGCGCCCACGGCCTCCAGCATCTTGTCCGGCAGCCCGAAGCGGCGCAGAGCCCGCAGTAAGGCCGCAGGGTCAACGTTGTCGAAGACTTTGGCCCAGTCGAGCGCGAGGAAGACAAGATGAGCGTCTTTCGATTCCCACGCATCGTCCAGGAATCGCCTCGCCATGAAGATGGCGTCTGTGGTTCCGCTCTGCGACTTAAATCCAAATTGCGCCGGCCAGACGCGCGACTCGGCGTCGGCTGCCTGAAGGCGTCGCAGTAGTACGGTAGCGTAAAGCTTGTAGCCAGCTTGCAGAAGACAGATCGGCCTGTAGTTCTCACATAGAGATTCGTCGCCTTGTTGTTTAAAAAGGCAACCACGAGCGACTCGTGCCAGGCGACTGGGACCACGCCATCCTCCCAGCACTTCGAGCAGAGCGCCGTCGCCCATCTCCTCGCAGGCGACCCCGGCGCAGGGACGGCCTTCCAGAGGTCTCCAGGCACGCCGTCCGAGCCGCACATTTTGCCCCATTTCACCCTTCGGGCCGCTGCCTCCACCTCGCTGTCAAGTATGGGGCCGAGGTCAACAGTGAGGGCCAGGCCCAGTGCTTCTTCGCGCATCTCCGTGGTGTCCCGAGGGGTGTGCCGAAATGAATCGGCGGCGCCGTGCGGACGGCGCCACCGGGACCTTAGGTGGAGCTCCCCATGGGGCCACGAGACGTCTGAGGGGCGTGCCGAAATAAAGCGGCGCCGCCATGCGGACTGCACCTCTGCGACCGTAGGTTGAGCCCGAGGCCTCATGCAGCTCCTGCGCGCGCGCCACGCCGGCGCCATCTTGACCGAGGATGCCGTCGCCCAGCTCCGAGGCCTGGGGCGAGCCCAGTGCGCGGCCGGTGCCTCCGTGCTCGCCGCGAGTTCCCGCATTTGCTCCTGGTGCCAAACCACCGCCCCGCCGGCGCCCTTCCGGTCGGGAGTTGCGCTCAGCCGCGCCGCCCGGCCCCCGCGCCAGCGGCGCGTGCGGGGGGGGGCGAGCGAGCTTCCGGCACTCGACGATATGCCCGCTAATTTCAAGACCAGGACGGCGGCGCTGCCCTCACCCTGGTGCACTTGCCAGTCGCTTCCCTGGAGCGGTGGGCGGGCATCCTCGCCCCAGTGGTGAGCGCCGTGGCAAAGGGCGACCACCGCGCCAACGCCGCGGCCAAGGCGCGCGCGAAGTTGCTGCTTGCGCCGCCCCCGGCGGGCTTCAGTCTCCAGGACGAGCTGAACGCGCGCTTCGACCTCTGGCGGGACGGCGCCTCCACGGAGCTCCTCTGCAGGGCGGGGGAGCAGCTCCAGATGAGGCGCGAGGCGCGGCGTTGTCGCAGGAGCGCCGCGGGCGTGCGGGGAGCTCGCGCGCGCGCTCGTGCTCGAAGCATCATGCAGCCGCGCCATCGCGGGGCTGACCACCGAAGCGGCATCGCTGGCGCCCGACGACCAACGCGCTTGGGCGGCCATCCTGCTATCGGACAGCCAACGCGGGCCGCGGGCGCTCTCGGCCTCAGCAGCTGTGCCGGTCGAGGTGGAAGACGACGAGCAGGAGCGCCCCGGCCCGATGCAGGGCGCGCGCTTTGCGGCGCTGTCGGCGCTTGGCCCTTCCGGGATGCGGCCAGAGCACTTGCAAGAGGCCTTCGGCGTTCGCCGTCGCCTCGTGTGCGGGCCGCTCAACTCCGCCTTGCGCGACCTGCACCGCGCGGCGGCGGCCGGGGCGCCCCCTGCCGCTTCGAGGTGGATCCTGGAGAGCAGACTCTGCTTCCTCAAAGAGAAGAGTGGGCCAGCGCCCCGACCCATCCGCGCGGGCGAAGTGTTGCGCCGGGTCGTGGCCGAGCGGTTCGCCTTTGACGAGCGCGGCGCCGCCGGCAAGCTGTTTCTGCAGCACCGCCAGTTCGGGGCAGGATTCCCGGCGGCCTCGACGCCGCCGTGGCGTTCTGGCTGAAGGCGGAGCGAGTTCTCCTTCGCCGCGAGCGGCGGATGGCGGTCGTGGATATTGACCTCTGCAACGCGTTCCCCAGCCTCGAGTGGGACGTTATCCGGGAGTCCTGCGCCCGACACTTCCCCGGCTTGCTGGCGTGGTTGGAGTGGTGCCGTGCGGCCCCATCTCGGGTTCAGCTCCCATGCGCGCGGGGAGGTCGTGGAGGTTTCCGGCGCGTGGAGCAGGGCGACCCCCTGGGCGGTTACTCACCAGTGCCGTAATCGTAGACGCGGTCGATGGCGCGCGGGCCGACCTCGCCGCGCAGGGAGTGGAGTTATTCGACGTGTGGTACTTCGACGATGGCCAGCTCTTCTGCGACGAGCGCGACGTCGACGCGATCCTGCGGGCGCTTGACGCCCAATTCGCGGCGGTCGGCGCCGCGCGTGGCTCCGGGCCCGGGGTCAAGAGCGTTGCGCGACTTCTGGGCTCCAGCTAAGTCCCCTCCCCGAGAGCGTGGATCACTCCTTACGTGGCGGACACGCGCGCGACGCCCGCGGAGGGCGCGGTGCACCTGACGCACGTGCTGGGCGCGGGCGCCGATGCGCGCGACGAGGCGCCAGCCGCCATGACGGAACAGTTCCGCCAAGCTTGCCGGAAGGTCGCGGCAGTCCACGAGCGTTTCCCAGATCCGGAGGACGCGCCTGCCGAGTTCATGCTGCTGCGGTCCTGCGCCGGCGTCTGCAAGGTCACGCATCTGCTGCGGTCCGTTGGTCCCGACATCAGCTCCGGGGCTCTTGCCTGCGAGGTTCTTCCCCTCCCGCGCTTCCAAGCCAAGCTGCCCACGTGCCAGGCTGGGCTCGGGGTCGCCTCGGCGGTGGAGCTGGCTACCGCTGCTTCCGTGGCAGCTCGCGCGGAGGCCCGGCCGACCTCCTGCTACCCGTTGGAGGGGTTCGCCGCGATCGTGGGGGAGGAGCATGAGGAGGAGGAGGAGGAGGAGGAAAAGGACGAGGAGGAGGAGGAGGAGGAGCAGGAGGAGTAGAAGTGGGAGGAGTGTGAGCATGGCGCCGCGAGTACGCAGGAGTGCGAGGAGTGCGAGTGGCGTAAGGAGGAGGGAGGAGGAGGAGGAGGAGGAGGAGGAGGAGGAGGAGGAGGAGGAGGAGGAGGAGGAGGAGGAGTTGGAGGAGGAGGAGCAGGAGGAGAGGAGAGGAGGAGGAGGAGGAGAGGACGAGGAGAGAGGAGGAGGAGGAGGAGGAGGAGGAGGAGGAGGAGGAGGAGGAGGAGGAGGAGGAGGAGGAGGGAGAGGAGGAGGAGGAGGAAACATGGGGAGGAGGAGGAGGAGGAGGAGGAGGAGGAGGAGGAGGCGGAGGAGGAGGAGGAGGAGGAAAAGGAGGAGGAGGAGGAGCAGGAAGAGTTGGAGGAAGAGGGGCCTCGTTTGTGGATCCCGCAGCAGGCCCTTCCCCTGGGAGAGGCGGGTGCCCTGGGAGTGGGCCGGCCCCAGCCCCCGACCGGCCTCAATGGGGAGGGGACGGGGGAGAGGGCCCGCGAAGGGGACAGGGAGAAATGAGAGTACGGGGTACCAGGCAAAGGGCGACCCTCCTCCCCAGTCCATCCAGCGCCCCCCTTTACCCCAGGCGCCTCCCCGCGGCCAGGCTCCGGCCGAACTCGGCCCCGCCAGCCACGGAGCCGACATGCGACCCCCACTTTGCCCCTGGCCGACCATCCAAGTTTCCCCCCCCCCATCCGCTGAACGGCGCCCGACCAACGCGGCCCGCGGCCGAGTGGAGGGGGGGCCGCTGGCGCAGGATGGCACGAAGTTACAGGCGGTTTCTTGCCGAGCTCCAGAGAACTCCGCAGAAATCCGCGCGAGACAGGCTCGCCAAAATGGCCCCCTCCGCCCCTGGCTCCCAGCGACCGCGCGGAAGGCCATCCCCGGGAGGGCACCCCCGCCCGTACGTCCTGGCGCCGAACTCCGGCGGTCACGGGTTCGCGGAGAATGGCCCCGTCCCTACCCCCTCGTGGTCCCCTTGCCTCGGCGTCCAGTTCCGCGTGGCTGTCAACCCCGCCTATCATCCCCGACCCCGCCGGGATGCCGGCCGGCTCCCCCCGTCCCTTCAGCCGTGGAGGAGCCCGAATCCTCACCCCAGCGAAACCATGATTTTAACTTGGGGCTATCGTGTGAGAGATCTTGGAGGCTATTGGGGCGTCTTGGAGGCCTCTTGGGCCGTCTGGAGGCCTCTTAGGCCGTCTGGAGGCCATCTTTGGCGTCTAGGACCAATCGTTCGGCGATTCGGGGCCCTGTTGGTCCGTCTTCGAACCTCTTTTTGACACTGTTGGTCCCTGTTGCTTTTTTGTTCGGCCCAGAGACGGCCCGGAGGAGATGGAATTCTGACCCGGGACCCCCCTCCTGCACCTCCCAATTCCGCCACCCCTTCCTCCCCGAAGGGGCTCCCCTTGGAGTCAACTAAGGCGTTGCTCAAGTTCGGCTTGGTTTCGCTTTGGCTGGCGCGCTTTGGCTGGCGCGCCGGAGGAGGAGGATCCAGTGACTGCGACGACGATGAAGACGACGACGACGACGACGACGACCACGACGACGACGACGACGACGAAGACGACGACGACGACGGCAACGACGACGACGACGACGACGACGACGGGTCAGAAAGAGCAGCGTCGTCCACACGTTGGCAGGCTCGGTGGATTTTGCCCACAGCGAGTACCTGTTGGAAATGTGCGGGCACATGGTGGGGCGCCCCACACTTCGGAGTCCGAGCCGTAGGCAGTGGCAGGGCAGGAGTGGAATGGTGAGAATCCCGTCGGTTTCACAGCGCCCATCAACGATCGGATCAAGATCTAACCGCATGAGTTTGCGAACCACAGAAGTCGAAAGGGAACCGCCCTCAATCCGTGTATTTCGCGTCCTCTGAAACTGGAAGTTAGGTGCGAGGGGGTTCAAAAAGACGTCGCGGCTTTGAAATTCGTGCGCAACCCTCCCTGCAATTGTTGGGGAATATAAGATTTGAGATCGAATCTGAAGATGTTGTCCATTGCTATTCACCCTCTATATTCGCCTCTCTTCGCCATCTGCTCTACACCCTCTGCTGTCTACACTCTGCTCTGTCCTCTTCCTTCCCCTCCTCCCCTCCCTCCCCCCAGGTGCGCCCCCTGTCTTCGAGCCATGGTTTGATGACGCCCCTGGCCAGGGTGACGAAAAGTCCTGACCCGATGGGAGCGCGCCACTGGGTTCTCGAGGCCCGGAACTCTGACCTCTCTCTCTCTCTCTTTCTCCCTCTCCCTTTGCCCAGACATCCAACGGTCTGATTTTCTGTTTTTTCAATCGCCGCCCCAAGAAGGTCCCGACCCCTCCTCCCCCGGGGCCAGTTTGTCATGGCCCAGGGGGCCGCAAAACGGGCCCGGGAGGTCGAAATCGAGGGAAACCGCCCCGGTCGAAAAAACAAATCGTCTCAGATTTGGGCATGGGCGTTTTTAGTCCCCATTGCCCTCGACGACGTCGGCGACGACGTCCTCCTACCAGCCGCGGGAGACACTGAGCAGGGGGATGGTTCCTGCTCAGGGCCCGACTGGCTCAACTTGCTTGGCGTTTCTGAACTTGTTATCTCTGCGCGAGGTGCAGGCCCGTGCCCAAGGCATCGGCCGCTACTGCTCTGTCCGAGGTTCTCGCCAGGCGAGCGTCGTTTGGTTGAATAGCTCAGGTCACCCTGGGCAGTCTGTACTAGTTGAATTAATCCTCAATTTCGAGCTTCGCCCACCTCGACTCGTATATGTGGGCTGCGTTTGCCACAGTTGATGTTCAACGTCCTCCTGCCGGCACCAACGCTTCAGGCCAGCGCGCCCCCCCCCACCCCCGCCACGCCAAAAGGCCTCGGGGGCGGCGCGGTGGCTGCGGGCGCTGGCGGAGCGGTCGGGGCTCCGCCTGCGCCAGAGGCGGCCCACCGCGCCGGCGTTTTGCCGCCGCCGCCGCCGCCGTCGTCGTCGTCATCGTCGTCTTTGTTCGAAGAGCAAAAGCTGGCACAAACATAATGTCTCGGAGGTCCGTGCGGTTTGTCAGATCGGCGAGGCGCCCCCTGGCGCGCTCCCAGCGTTGATCCAAGAGTTCCGCGCGGGCCTCCGAGAAAGTCTGTTTATGCAGTTCTTGCTCCTCTGCCACTATCGGCGGCGCGCCCGAGGGGGAAGTGAGAATGGGCGGGCTGGCGGGCCTTTTCAGGGGTCTCAGAAGCCACCCGGCCTTTGAGAAGTTTCCTCTGGCATTCCCCGAAGCCCAAAAAAACAGAAGGCTCGGGGGTGTATCAAAAGTCCCGCCGCCTTCTGAGAAGGCCTTTTCCTTCTCATTTCCCCCCCTCGCTCGCCGCCGACTTTATCGTCCTCGTCGCCTGACATCCACGCGCTGCAAATAGGGAGAAAACATAATGGAGGGTTCGGGGCGCTTTTCGGCTGGTCCGGGGTCCCGCACCAGACAGGGCTCCCGAAGAAGAGCTGGTCCCCCAGAAGTGGTCCAGACTTTTGGGAGCCCCGTGAGCGACGCAGAATTTGGGGGTCATCTTCACCGACATTGGCGCGTAAGCTGCCCGCGTAAGGTCGCGCGTAAGCGCCCTCGTCTCCAATGTAGCGTGCCGCGCCGGCGGCCAGCGTAGGCCGCCGCGTAAGGGGTCGTTGTGCCATATCGCGCAAGACCCGTTTTTGATGATCGCTCATGATGTGAAAAGAACATGACGGATGTCTCGGCCTTCCTGTTTTTGTGGTTTTCGCTCGTGATGAGCTGGCCGTCGCTCGTCGTCGCAGTCGCCATTTCAGGGTCAACGTTCGGGGGGGGCGGCACGGCCACAGGTGGTAGGATCGACTTCATCGCCCATTCGTCGTCGATGGTGGCGTGATAGCCGGCCCGCCCAGGAGCGTGCGGATTCGCCATCGGGGGCCTATTGCCGACCTGCACATGACGTATCGCCGATTCCAGGCCGATGTTTTCTTCCCTGAACCAGTCCCTCCCGATCGTTCCCTTCATCGTCGTCGTCCGCTGTCGTCTGGTCCTGCTCCTGAAATCTTCGGTCGTGCCTGGATGGCCTGTTCAGTCGGTTGACCGACGGGTTGGCCCGATGTCTGTCAGGCCCACTGCTTGGCCGCCTGGCAGGCCTGTTGGTTGGATGTTTCGCTGGTGATTTGAGATGCGCCTTAAATAGGTAAGCCAACGATCTCACACCATTGGAACATTTGGTAGCGCAAGGCGTGTCCGTGCCCGGGCCGGCGAGGTATTGCACGCCGCTGACGCGATGGGCAGGCGAAATTTCTGGACGCTTGCGGGACAGGGAGGGGTGCTCGTCTTTGCCTTTGCTGCCAAACTCGTATCGGGATGCCGATCAGATTCAGAACGGTGCTCATGTGAGGGACGCGTGGATTGATGTCTTGACGCTTCGCGTATCCCCTGTCAACCCGTCCAGAAACTCGGCACGCTGGGCCGGACGGGAACTGTCGCAGAGGCCTTGAATTCCGACGTCCGAATCTCCTTCCTCATCCTCGGGGAACAGGCAATGACATAACCGCGATCCCCAGATAATTGATCCCCCTTTTTTTAAACGATTCACAGTGTATTATCCCCGGCCAATAAAGAGATGGTCGGGGGAGGGGGGCGGCAAGACTGAATGTTACTATCGCAGGGGAAAGTTGCAAATCGGAGAGATTGTTTTATTGTGTTAACTAGCAGCATCATCAAAAACGCATGGCATGGCAATGGCAACCTCACCACTTCAGTTTTCGCAAGTTACGAACATGTGGCAGGGCGATGGATTCTCACCTTTTTTTCATCGTTCCCAAACTCACGAAGGTGTGGCAAGTCTGTAGGATTCTCACTTTACCGGCCGTTTCCCTAGTCAACGTGTGGAAGGGCCAACATGTTCTCACCATTTCAGTTTTCTCCAGCCACGAGCGTGTGGCAGGGCCATCGGATTGTCACTTTCCCGGCCTTTCCCAGGTCAGGAAAGCGTGGCGCGGGCTCGAGTATTCTCATCATTTCAGTTTTCCCAGTCACGAACGTGTGCTTTGGCCGTAACATTCTCACCATTTCAGCTTTCATCGGTCACGAACGTGTGGCAGGGCCACAAAATTCTCACAATTTCAACTCCGCGCAACACGAACGTTCGGCCCGCCCTCCCTGGTCCCTCCCCCCCCCCCCCCTCCCCGCAGCACCCTTTTCGCAAATGTTTGATGGCCGAGTTCCACCGACACGAGCTCTATTCGATGCTCCAAGCTGATCCGCGCAGGCCCGAACTCCACCGATCCGCCAGCAATGGCTGCCCCCAAACCCATCGAGGAACAAACCTTAGAGGTTTTGCAGCATATCGCCATGCAGAACGAGAAGATAACCGCCCAGAACGATGAGGTGATCGAGAAGCTCGGTTGCATCGCCGACAAGGCGAGCGTCGCCGAGATGCGGCAGTGCCAAACAAACGCCCAAGGCACCGACGCCGCGAGGACGACAGCGAGCTTCTCCAATGCCGGGAGCGCGCTCTTGTCTTCGAGCGCGCAGCAGGCCGTCCTCGAGATGATTTGCAAGGGCGAATACCTCAAGGCGACCGAGTGCGCGGGCATCATCACCGAGAAAGACGCGGCGCGCCGAGCTGGTAGTCGCCCTTTTTCCACAAGACGCAAATCGAGGGCAACAAGTACACGCGCGATATCTTCGAGGACCACGGCGAGCCACCCGAGAACCTGCCCTGGCTCACGCGGAGCTTCCGCTCGAGGACGCTCGAGCCCGCCTGGAACCAGGACTTCGAGCTCGGCGCCGGCAAGGTCGCCTGCCTCTTCTTCGGATCCTGCTTCGAGCGCATCGGCCAGCCCCCCCCTCGAGATTCCCGCGCCCCTCCAGCACCTCCACGAGCTGGCGCTGCCGCTCAGCGAGAGCCTCGAGCCCGCCCGGAAAATCTTCGGCGAGGACGCTTCTGGCATGGTCGAAGTCTTCGAGCATGTCCACGGGAAGGTCAATGGCGTCGAACAAGGACGAGGCCCTGGCGACAACCGAGCGCATCGTCAAGTGGCGTTGGCGCGGCAAGCGGACCGCCGCCACGTCGCCCGAGCTCGGCCACGCGCGCGGCCCCCGAGAGCGAGGCCGAGGCGAAGGGCGAGCCGGGCGCCGTCGGGGTCGACCATTGCGGAGAGCGACGGCCGCGCGATGCCCGGCGAGGCGGGCGCCCAGCGCGCGAGCGCCGCGAACCAAAACGCGCCTTCGAGCCACCGTTGTTCTGGGAGGCACCCCCTTAGAGGGGCGCTTTCCAGGCAGCCCCCCTATTCGCCGAGTGAGAAGACACCGAGCGCGCCATCGGCGACGCTCGATTCCCGATCATCGGATCGACGACCCTCGATCATGGATTCGAGCATTCTCGAGCACCTTGGAGCCTGGGTCCGATGATCATTGACCTCGGACTCGAGGATCCTGGGCCCTCGATCCGAGGGCCGAGGATCGAGCCCCGGCGATCGTCGATCGATCCCTTCGCCGTCGTCGGGCCCGGCCGCCGTCAACGAGGCTCGATCCTCGATCTTCGGATAGAAGACCTCGCAATTAGATCCGAGCGTCAGCGGGCGCCTTGGATCCTGGATGCGATGATCACTGATATTGGACTCGAGGATCCTGGGTCCTCGATCCGAGGATCCATCCTCGCCGTTCGTCGATTGCCCTCTTCGCCATCGTCGGGCCTGGGCCGCCGCCCGCGAGGCTCGACCGTCGGATTGAGGGCCCCGATCTTGGACCTGGGCATTCTCGAGCACATAGGATTCTTCATTCGAGGATCAACGATCTTGGAAACGAGGGCTTTGGGCCCTCGATCCGCGGATCGAGGGGCGCTTGGGCCCGAGCATCTCCGAGCGCATTGGATCCTAGATCCGATGTCTTCGCTGGGCGCGAGGATCTCCGGCCATCGATCTGAGGATCGGGGATCGAGCCTCGGCGGTCGTCGACCGTGGTCGTCGCCGTTGTTGGGCCCAGGCTGCGAGCCCAGAGGGTCGTCGAGGCTCGATGTGGGGCAACCTTTGTTACGCCGTCTACGCGGCGCTGCTTGCGCGGTGCAAAGCGCGCGGAGCAATGCGCCACGTGAAGTCGGATTCGGCGCGGGCGCGGCCGAGGCGACGTCGAGTCGGCGACCGCGGCGGCAACAGCAGTTTCGCAACAACAACAACAGCAACAACAGCAAGAACAACACCAGAGACAAACGCAACAACAGCGAGCAACAGCACCAGAAACCAGCACACCAACAGCAAGCAAGACCAGCAACGGCAACACCAACCAACAACAGCAGCAGCAACGCCAGCGACATCAACAACAGAAACAGCAACACAAGTCACGCAACGACAACAGCAAGCAACAGCAACAGCAACGATACCCACATGCAACGACAGGAGAAACACCGACGACCATCCGCGCACACGCAGGCCCACGCGACTCACTTTCGAGCCCCGAGCCAGCAGGAGTCTCGAGCCAGGCGCAGACAGCCAAGCCAGCGGTCGCGGCGAGGCGCTTCCGCTCGCGATCAAGATCGCGAAGGAGTGAGAGAAAGCGGGGGGGCCGAGCCAGCAGCCACGAGGGCGAACTCTAGGCCGCCCAGGCCCGGGCCCGCGCCGACCCCGTGGACATCCAGGTCGTCGAGGACAGCCCGGTCGTCGAAGGCGGTCAGGCCGTCGAGGCCCGCCAGCTCGTCGAGCAACAGCTCGAGGACGCCGAGCTCCAGGATATGCATATCCAGGACGAGCAGCGAGCTCATGGAGAACGAGTTCAAGGACAGCGAGCCCGAGGGCAAGGGAGAGGACGGCATTCCCATGGACAAGCCGCCCGCCGATCCGTTCGCGAACAGCTGCCCCGAGGAGAAGCAGGGGGGGAACAGTCGTCTCGAGGACAACCAGTTTGACGTCGTCGAGTCCAGGCTCAAAGTCGCCCGCCCAATCCC